TACAAATAAAAAATATTGCTAAGAATATATTTATTTTATTGTCTTGAAAGCAATATTAAAAAGTTTTAATAATGATCTGCATATTATAAAATTATCCAATCAATTTCTTTATGGATCAACCAATCACAGATAAAGCCCGCTATGTTATTTTTGGTAACAACCCTAATAAATTCAGTTACACATGTTTTAATATATAGAGAAAATATTCCAATCCTTGTATCTCATTTTTCTACTATGCAAACAGGGTTCAATTTTCACCAATTTATAAATTATTATGTAGAATTATTGTTGAGTAAACAGTCAAAAAAAAGAAGCTGGTAGCTTGATTTTCCTACAGTGCGGATCATCTATACTCAAAAGTTAAAATTTTTGAAATATTATGCGATCCACATATTGGATTTTAAAAAACTCACCACCATTCAATTCAACTTTAAAAAGGGAGTCTATTAATCTAAAAAAAAAATTTGTCTCAAATTTTCTTTTCATAGATTTTTTAAATTTGAAAGTTATGCTCAGAAGTGGAACAATAATTTTCGTGTTACAAGATTTTGAATCTTACGATCAAATTTGGTAATGATTTTCTTTTAATGTAATATGTTCGCTAAACTTTCTTGTTGTAAAGAACTTTAAAAAAAAGGAAATAAATTAAGTCAAATAAATCAAATGTAATTCGTAGAAAATATTCTATGAAAAAAAGTTGTTACACGAAATTTACCTAGTCTCAATTTCTTAAGTGTATAACAAAATTCGGAATTTTCAAAATGCTAAGGCTCAGCCAATTTTTAGTTTAAGAAAAAACTAGCCGATAAGTTTTGAAGCTTGAGTCATGAACAATAAAACTTATCGATCAACTTTTTTAAAATGATATAAAAATTTTTTGTTTTAGTATTTTGAAGCTGACCATTGTTACTATAATATATAAACCGTAAATCATTACTACTAGTGGTTAAAAATTCCATTTATTACCATCGCCACCTTCTTTCACTTATCATTATTATCAATCATTGGATAGTTTTGGAATAGCGTGTTATAAACGTTGTTACTGAATGGCTTCATTTTATAGAAAACCGGAACTGTATTGATTTGTACAATACTTTATAATGATACTGTGGTATTTATTGTTATTGTAAACGGTGCAATCAGTATGATGATAAAATGAAATGACGAAAACTTTTTTTTATTTAATCGCAGCATCGGTTTATGTTACATCAACTTTTCAATTGGAAATTAAACTTTAAATTGACATCATACTCACCACTAGCAGTTGACCGTTTATAAAAAGTTACAAAGTTCAAAAAAGGCTTATTAACGAAGTTAAAGATAATAATGCATAAGCGTTGCTTACTTTTTTTAGAGAATTGAATAGTTTTTGGGCGTGCGTGTTAATAATCAAGTTAGACAAATTTAAGGTTTGTCTCTCAGTATATACAATAAAAATATTTCATAATGTTACATAAGAAACCATTATTCAAACAAAGAATTTGGTTATGATTTTAAGATCTAATTTAGATTGAACATTATTGGCTCATATTTTATTGTACTGGTATAGTGTATCCAAGAATAATAGCGTTCAATGAGCCAATTAATTCATAATGTGATGTCTGCAAACGACCATTGTTTTTTAATTGGCTTTTTTCTTTCAATTAATCCGCTAATACTTGTTCTAGATTCATTTTTGAAAATTTTATTTGACATATATGTATATATTAATAATACTTCAAAAAAAACTCGCAATAACAATATTTGTTTTTATTATGATTTTAATAAATTCCCTTTTTGTTTTTTTTTAGAAAAAATTAATTATTCGCCATTAAATATATTTTACGCAACACATATGGATCCTGAATTATCATTATATATTGATAAAGCACAACTTGACGATGATGAGACTCGCCTCATATTCAATCCTCCTTGTAAAATCTATTCACAAATAAGTGGATTTATTTCGCCTAATCCTAATAATGTTAATTCCATAGGTATCCCAAAATCACAAAACTCTTTTTTCTTATACCGCAAAAATTATACTGCTAAACATAAATCTTCTAGGAGTAAAAAGGATTGGAAAATACTTTCAAAGGAAGCCGGCAATGCCTGGAGTAATG